GAGTTCATGTTTATTTAGATTTGAATACTCTTTTTTTATGCTCTCTATAGGGGTCGATACAAGAGCATTCTTGTACATTTCATAACAACAACAACAACAACAACACATCATGAGTTAAAAAAAAATTCGTCTTTATTTGAGTATTCGATTAAAATAAGTGTTACATCCAATAGTGTGTGATGTTTCTGATTTTCGCCATTTTCTATTTTTTGGAATTTTCTGTTTTTGCAAGGGCATTTTCGTCTTTATTTGTTTTGCGTGCCGGACACCACAGGGTGTGCCGGGTGTATCCGAGAGTTGGTTGGAGGGATTCCAAGAGTTTAGGACTGTTGGAAATGCAACGGTTGCCATTTCGGCATTTTTTCGTTTTTCGAACCGGAAAGTCCGGGTGGGACCCACCATCGGTTTATCTATATACGGGAATTTTATTTTGGGTCAATTGCATTTTGTTTATTATTATTTAATGCATTTTATGGGGTGACATGCTTAATTGTGGTTGTTATTAATTAATGTATATAGGTGTTAGTGGAAAAAGATTTTTTGTAGCTCGTGGGACCCGCCACCATGCCTTAAGAATTTTAATGACCCCAAGGTCATTACATGACCTCAATTCTTCTCTCCCGCAGCCGGTTCTCTCCCCCTTCTCTCGTTCTTTTTTTTTTTTTCTTTTACAATCTTTAAACTTTGATTACTTCTCAACCGGTGAGAATTTTTGGGTACCGTTTGCGGCAAATTGAAGAGCACGGCGAGATCTACAAGTGGGTGTAAGCAATTTCAGCTTTGGTGTACCCTAGGATTTTTGAAATCTAGGGTTTAAGTTGGGGGTTTTCATCATTTTGGAGGTAGGGGTGTTTAACTAGCATTTTCTCTTGCTATATAAGTGATTTATGTGACTTCTGTGAATTAAGCATGCTTGTATAAGTCAATTTTGTTTCAATTGCATGTAATTATGCTTATATACGATGATGCTTTAGCTAAAACTTCAGAAAAAGATTATGAATGATGGATTAAGTATTCTTGAAGTTGAAATTGAACCATAGCAAGTATGAATGTAGTAAATGGGGTTGTTCGAATGAAATTTTAAAGGGGCTATTTGGCTGATTTTAAGGGATTGTTTGGTTGATTTTAAGGGGCTATTTTGGCTTATCTAGAGGGTTGTTTGGTTGAATTAAGGGATTATATTGTTTATTGTGAAAAGACTGTTTTTGTTGATTTTAAGATAGCTGTAGCATGTGTAAATAAGGTAAAGGTACTGTTTAAATGAATTTTATAAGGAGTTGCATTGATCCAATTGCTACGAAAATTTTAGCACAGGTTCTTATACCTGTCTAGTACCTCTCAAATAAATTTTACAATTTTTGTACGGGTAGTTATTTTTATAAAAATTCGGGAATAGTTGTTGTCCAGTTATCCCAGTTTGAAAACTATTTTTTTTAAAGAAAGTTTTCGAATTTTATTTTAGAGGTTGTGTTGCTCCAAATACAACAAAATTTTTACTGTAACTTCTAATGTGAGTTTTATAAAAATTTAATGATTTTTGGCAATGTAATTATTTTTTTAAAAATCCGACATTTCCTGATGTTTGTCTTTTTATTGCTGTTGGAAAATAGATTTTGGATAATTTATTTGACTAACACATTGATACGGGATCATGGAAAAACTTACTAGTTTTATACTCCCATATATCTACCTTCAAAATAAATTTAGTTTGCCCAATTTGGATGTCAAACAAATTTTCTACAAATTTTGAAGTATCTGTTGCCTGAGTTTCTTCGAACTAAGGATCACTGTTTTACTTTTGGAAACTGATTTAAATGGGGAACATTTGGCTTTCGTGAGTGGTTCAGCAATGTTTCATTCCGAGTCTAGTTTCTAAATCATTTTTATTTTCACTGTTTCGATCTAAAATGAATTTTCTACGAATTTTTCAATAACTGCTACGCAGAATTCTTTCAATTAGAATATGACTTGAAATTTGCTATGTAAATTGTCATATGAATTGAATTGCTTATGGTGATTAATTTGAGTATAAGGTCTTGAAAATTGTGAGGTATTGTATTTAGTATGCCAAATGATTGAATTCAAGCATATGTGACTTTATTTTTATTATTGTGTTAAATACCTATTTTGGATGAATTCTTACAATAATTGTTTAAATGATATATATGCAAATGTGAGAGTATGTGTTGATGGATGTGTTATGAGAAAGCATGCTTATATGAAATCAATGTATGTATGATATGCTTGTTGTGCTTATATTGTTGTTAAATGAGAGCATAATGTCTTGAAATTTAATGTATCGTATGCTATGTAGTTTTGAATGGAATTAAATGCATAGTCATGAGTATTGACATGACATGATGCATTTATGCACTTCATTGGGAAAGAGATGGGAACTTGAATTTGAAATATATATATATATATATATATATATATATATATATATATATTTGGCAAAGAATTTTGAAAAGGATTTTGTGAAAAACCCGGCCGCCTAGGAGTTGCATAGGGACCGCGGCGTTAGTGAGGCCTAGAGAGATCGCCCTTGTGTGGTTGAGTTACTTGGGCCCAAATGACGCCATGGAGTTGCCATGGGTCAGGGACAGTGGCCAATCCTCCTTTCATGCCGTCATGGAGTTGCCATAGGACGGGTTCGCTAACGGTTTGGAAATGATGACGGATATGGTTTTGGAAAATGGAGAGAGACATAGCACGACATGACATTTCATTTCATGGCATCTTCTTTCATGACTTGGGTTATTGGTGTGATTGTGTGGTGATTTTCCCGACATAGCATGATCCCGGTTCTTTTATTGCTATTCAGTATAACTTACTTGTATGGCTTTAGGAGGTGTTGGTTGGTTATCATCTACTGAGCAATGTAAGCTCACCTCGTTGTCATAAACATTTCAGGAAATGGACTTTCTATGGAAAATATGCCTTAACCTGTAACGACCCTAAACTGATACCATTAATTAAAAAAAATTCGGCATGACCTCCGCTAAATATCGTCCTACAACAACCTGTCAAAATGCATTTTTAACCTATCCCAACACAATAAACATATAATACATTTCAGTATTCCTTTCATCCATTCATCATGCCTCAACATAGTTCATCTCAAATCCACATATCGTAATTACAGTCCCAAAATACAAGAGTAAGATCAAATGTCCATGCTTACAACATTTAGACAGCTTATACAAAAGTTACAGCCCATAGGTATACTTAGTCATCGTACAAAATACATTATGCTTAGTCTTACAAAAATAGTGAGACCCAAGTACAAAAACAACAAAATAAGCTCCTAATCCATACTAAGTCTGTGGTAGAATGTCATCCGCCACTTCTTTCCCGTTCCCTGAAAAAAATTTAAAATAATAGGGTGAGCAATTTGCTCAGTAGGCGGTGCCTAAGACACACCTCTTGTGTCCCCGTGAATCCAAACAAAGAATAGAACAATAGGGGGCGGGGTCATGCCATGTCGGGAAAGCACAACATAATAACCAATCTCAACATAAACAATATGACGCTATGGAATGCAATGCATGCCGATGTCACTCTCCATTTTCAACATTCAAAACCATCACTTTCAAAATGTTAACATAACCCGCCCTTTGGTGACCCCGCAGCGACACGAGAGAAGGATTGGCTAGTGTCCCTGACCCTTGGTACCCCCGCGGCGTCATTTTGGGCCCAGCTAGCTCAACCACGCTAGGGCAATCTCCCTAATTCCCTCTAAGCTATATTAACACACCGGCCCTTTGGTAAACCCGCGGCGACCGGGTTTTCTCAAAACCATTTTAATCAAAACTTCTTCCTAAAATTTTCCTTTTTCATTTCAAAGCAATTTGTTCCCTTTTTCTTCCCAATGCTATGCATGAATGCTTCATGCCATGTAATTCATCATTCTACAACAAATTAAAAATTTAATCTCACATTACACCTTCCAAGAATTTCTAAGAATACATAACATGCTTTCATACAATAATTTTAGTAAGTTAACAACATTATCGGCTAGGAAAAATAACACATAGAACATGATTTTCACACACAACATAAATTTAACACACATCCACATACTCAATTTTCAAGGTTTAGTCACCTTAAAACAAAATCAACACAATTTAGTATAATAAGCAACAAATAACAATAATTATACTCACTAAGGCAAAAGAATATATGGATTAGAGACCCCTACCTCACTTTTGAGCAAAATCCCCAATTTTCACCTCAAACCTTCAAAATGGGTCTCAATTTTCGGACTCCCTAGGTTGCTCAAAACTGAAATTGCTAGTACACATGTGTAGAGCTCGCTGTGCTCTCCGTTTTGCCACAAACGGCACTTAAAAACACTAAGACATGAGGGAGAAATCAAGCCTTGACTTTGGAAAATAAAAAAAAACAAAGAGCCGAGAGGAAGACACAGACAGAGACGGGAGAAAGAGAGAATAAGAAAGCAGAGACCAAATGTGGTCCCACAATCCACTTGAAAGGGGCGTGGGTCCCACATGTGTTTTTTTTGAATTTCTTTTCTTTTGTGTTAAATTCTCACCACACACACACAAATATATACACACCATATATACACAGACATTACACAACCTTAGCCTTGAAGTATCTTATCGAAGTTTGCTTGGAAGTATATTGGTGTCGCTAACATGTTGATATAGTAGTTTTGTTAAACTTGATTACCATGTAGACAATGAGATTTATGATGTAATTGAGATTATCAATATAATTGGAGTGGTTGAATTTCCGGGGCATCGTGAAAATTTTTTGATGTACTTGAGGAATTTTTCTTTTACGTAATCTTTTGTAGTTAAAATTTATGGGTTGTTACAGGACAAGTCCAAACTTGGTTGAATCTTGAAAATAGATCTATCATATTCTCTGGTACTTTGTTGGAGGTTTCGACCATCTTCTTATGATTATTTGCCTCTGCGGCCATATTTGTAAGCGCAGTTTGATTTTCTACAATCATTTTTAATTGTTAACAGGCAAACACTTCACTTACAACTACAAAACTGTCATCGTCGCCCCTTATGGAGATCTATGGCGTAACCTCCGGCGCGTGATGACTCTAGAGGTGTTGTCACCAGCTCGTCTTGCACCATCGTCTAACATCCGACAAGACCAGGTTCGATCACTGGTGAGTCAACTCATGCAGAGTTATGCTAGTGGAGCAAGAAAGGTGGAGTTGAAATCGAAGTTCACAGACCTTTCTTTCAATGTCATGACAATGATAATTGCGGGAAAGCGGTATTTTGGAGACGATTTTGAAGATGTTGAGGAGGCAAAGCAGTTCAGGGATGTTATAAGAGGGACACTTGACCTCAGTGGGGTATCGAATATTGGAGATTTCTTGCCCTTTTTGGAATGGATAGATTTTCAGGGGTATGAGAAGAAGATGAGGGGATTGATGATAAAGATGGACAAATTCTTGCAAAAGCTGGTTGAAGAACATCGTCAAGTTTTATTAATTGGTAACAAAGAAAGTGATAGTGATGGATCAGCAAAGAAGACAGTCGTGGATAATTTGCTAATGATGCAAGAAAAGGATCCAGAATTCTACACTGACGAAATTATCAAAGGCATCATGTTGGTAATTCTTTGATCTTGATTATTTGAAATTGTATTTAATTTTAGATATGGACTCTTTTTTTTTCCAGAAAGTTCAAGTAAACGCACACCACTCACAATATTGCGCCAAATAGGGCTAGATCACTTTCAGGATCAACCTCCCGTAATCGGTATGAATGTACTCAAATATTTTTTTCTTTCAGAAATGCAATTATCACATCATCCCAATGAGAATCCTTATATCAAACTTATGTTAAAATTAACATTTTTTCTACTTAGGAAATAAACTAATTGCCAAGAAATATATATGTAGGTATTCTTAATAGCAGGCTCAGAGACTTCATCAAGTACCATGGAATGGGCAATGGCTCTTCTGCTTAACCATCCGGATGTGTTGAAGAAAGCAAGAGCAGAGATAGACGCCAATGTCGGTCTAGGCTGCATGTTGGATGAACAAAACTTGCCAAAGCTGAATTACTTGCACAATATAATCAACGAAGCACTTCGTTTGTATCCTCCCGTGCCACTTCTCCTGCCACATGAAGCCTCAAACGATTGCAAGGTACATGGTTATGACGTGCCTCACGGTACAATGTTAATGATCAATGCATGGGCCATTCAAAGGGACCCGGAGCTATGGGTGGAGCCGACAAGGTTTATACCTGAGAGGTTCGAGGGTTGGAATGGTGAAGGGTACAAGTTGCTGCCTTTTGGTGGCGGAAGGCGGGGGTGTCCTGGAGTTGCAATGGCTAACAGGGTGATTGGATTAGCATTGGGGGCCTTGATTCAGTCATTTGAGTGGGAGAGAGTTGGCGGGGAGGAGATTGATATGGTAGAGGGTTTAGGCCTCACCATGCCAAAAGTTAAGCCCTTGGAAGCTATCTATAGACCTCGAATAGTCATTACTGAACATCCTCTTTGAGTCTAAATGTTGGTTAATAAATTTCCTCTTTTCTTTTATACATATTTGCACACCATTCCAGTAACATGTATACATATATATACACATTTAGGTAGAAACCAGAAATAAATTACTTTTTGTTAAAACAAAATAGTTTAGCTTCAACATGACCTTGAACCAACTCTACTTCAACATATCACTCCAGATTATTCCGCTAAAATCCCCAGAATTCTAGCAAAGATGTTGGGAAATTTTTAGTTTGTGTTGACAAATTGGTGGAAAAGGGGTTTGCGTACTGTTGCGTAAAATGTTTTGTTGTCAATTTTATATATATATATATATTCCTAGTTGGTACTCACGAATCTAGAATTTATTTGTATTCAAGAGGAGTCGAGCATTAGACTTGAAACATCAGGGCCAAGTGATTTACCAAATTGAGCCAACCTGTGGGTTGTCTCTCTAGCAGATTTGCCAAAATTTTTCAAGGCAGAAGTAAGATTGGGAAATGAAATCTGATTTGCCAAGACTCTTCAAGGCAGAAGTATAATCAATAGATAGTTTGGACTACTTTTGTCCTTGGTGATATTATGTAAATGGGCATAATTTGTTAAGACTTGTTATTAAACTCACAATTGATTTTTGGACTTCAAAATGTGCTGATTCAAAAAAAAAAAAAAAAACACCACACACAAAAAAAAAAAAAAAACACTAATAACAATTACAATGAGGTCGACCTCAGAGTAATCTTATTCTTTATATAATTCGATAAGATGAGATGGTTTATAATAAATCATCTATCTAATTTGATATTTTGCAGAAGTACTCTTCAATTTTTTATTTTTTTTATTTTTTTTTAATAAAAAAAACATTGTAAAAATGTTTGGCTGCATAATGTTGAATTCCTTTAACAACAATTCAGAGTGCTGTAAGTTGGGTGCATGAGTAAATTACCTACGTGAAGGTAGGCATGAGTAAACTTCTACTATTACCATGAGTCCTTGCTGTAATTAGCTTGCAACTTTGTTATACTAATTGTCATTCTTTTTGTGTACTGTTAATTGCCATAGATTTTGCTTATCCACATAACATATTAACCGGATCAACATCAAGTATTTAAATCAACTATTTTTTCATTTTGACAAAGTAAAAAAGTTAAGATTTTTCGGTGTTAATTTGAGTAAAACATTTACTGTAACAAAATTGTTGAGACATTGGAGAAAACTAAGGAGTAGTAACAAGTTTTGATACCTTTTTCAAAACAGGCACTGCAAATGAGGAGGAGGTAATTTTCTTTTGCACTGATCTCTGTTACGCATGAGAATCATAATGAGATGTGTTGTCTCCTATGTTTCCTCTGTGTTGCCTATTATTGTTTCGCTTCTGATTTTGATGACACCTCTCAGAATCAATTGGTCTCCTATGTTTCCTCCGGGTTGCCTATTATTGTTTCGCTTCTGATTTTGATGACACCTTTCAGAATCAATTGGTAAGAGGTAAACGATTAGGTGAATTAGTCAAACAGTATCTCCTAATTACTCCAAATTTCAGATTCCACAAACGGAGAAAAGGGAGATTTGAGTTCTATTAACTTATATTTATAGTATTATTTTTTACGTGTTAGAGTCTAATGTATTTATTTTATTTTTTTTTGTTCTTTTATATATCTATATATATATATACTCAATTTCAACTTTCCTATAAAAACTACCACCAAACCCTTGAGACTTAAAGGGATACCTCTTCCACATCCTCGAGGGAAGATTGAGGGTTTAAACACAATGAAGACGTATGTGAGTATATTAAAAAAATGATGGTCAATAAAAAGAAAAGTTGGGGGAGGAGATTGATAAAAGTATAGGGTTTACGCCTCTTTATTTTATTTTTATTTTTTTCAATGACAATAATGTTACGAATTAGTTGTTAGAAGGGAAGGAAAGGTGCAAGACACAAATACGGGCTCCTGGACACAAAGAACAACCCAACAACATAATAAGGACTCACCATGCCAAAAGTTAAGCCCTTGGAAGCTATCTAGAGACCTTCCCTAGTCATGACTGAACATCCTTTTTAATGTAAATGTTGGTTAATAAATTTCCTTTCACCACAATGTTTTTGCACACCATTCCACTAACACGTATACATACGTGCACACATTTAGGTAGAAACCAGAAATGAGTTACTTTTTCTTAAAATTTAGCTATGTTAACATGAAGTTGAATCAACTCTCCTCCAACATATACAGTACTTCATAATTATTTCCCTGCGTTTAGTGTGCAAAAATGGAATGGAATGAAATGCAAATGGGAATGAAATGAGTTATGAATGGAATAAAATGATCATTTTCATTCTATTGTTTGGTTGTAAATATGAAATGTATAAGAATTAAATGAAAATAACCATTCTAGTGTTGAGTCGACAAGGTTTATACCAGAGAGGTACGAGGGTTGGAATGGTGAAGGGTACAAGTTGCTGCCTTTTGGTGGCGGAAGGCAAGGGTGTCCTGGAGCTGTACTGGCTAACAGGGTAATTGGATTAATAGCATTGGGGGCCTTGATTCAGTCATTTGAGTGGGAGAGAGTTGGTGGGGAGGAGATTGATATGATAGGGTTTAGGCCTCATCATGCCAAAAGCCAAGCCCTTGGAAGCTATCTTTAGACCTCGAATGGTTGTATCTGAACATCCCCCTTGAGTCTAAATGTTGGTAAATAAATACATTTTTGCACACCATTCCAGTAACATATATACGCGCATTTAGGTAGAAACCAGAAATGAATTACTTTGTTAAAACAAATAGTTTAGCTACATCAACATGACCTTGAACCAACCCTACTTCAACATATACACTCCAGAATTATTCTCCTAAAATCCCCATAATTCTAGCAAAGATGTTAGGAAATCGTTAGTTTGTGTTGACAAATTGGTGGAAAAGGGGTTTTGTATACAGTTGGGTAAAATGTTTTGTGGTCAAATTTTTTTCTTTTTTTTTTTCCCTAGTTAGTACTTGTAACGATCTGAACCCGAAGGTCCAAATTGCTAACCGAGTCCTTACCCGAATCCGAGGTCAACTAAGGACACTACCATCCTTTCATATGTCAATACATAATATACGTGTCATCCCAAGGTTTATAAAAAATAATAATAATAATAATAAATTAATAAATAAATAAAAATAAAATGAGATCATAGTTACAAAGTATGTTAAAACAGTCTACTAGCCCATCGAATCCTGTGGAGGAGCATCGTTCGCAACTTCCCGTCCGTGTCCTGGAAAATGTTAAATTTAAGAGGTGAGCAAATTGCTCAGCAGGAAGTGCCTAAGACACACCTTTTATGACCCCGTGAATCCACATAGAGAATAGAAATCATGAGAACGAGATCATATCTCAGGAGTCGAGTAAAACCACTGTATTATCAACAAACATACATATATCAACCAACTACCAAGTACACCAAGTATGCCAATGATGTGTCATGCCATGCAATGTCACTCCCCATTTCCGAAACAATACCGTTTCAACTTTCAAACCGTTATGTAATCCGACCCAAGGCACCTCCAAGGCGTCATGAAAGGGGGATTGGCTAACTATCCACGACCACAAGGCACCTTCAAGGCGTCGCATCCGGCCTAGTTAACTCAATCCCTAGTCCTCTCTAGACTACACTAACACTACGGACCACTAGGCGCCTCCTAGGCGTCCGGTTTTCACAAATACTTTCCAAAACAATTTTCCCAAAATTATTTCATTTCATTTCAAAACAAATTTTCCCTTTCTTGCCCAATGTAATGCAATGCATGAATGCTTCATGCTTTGATCACCATACAATGTCAAGTTTACAATTCATCTATATCTCATTTGCATGCTTTTGAGAAAATTAAATTATTAAACTCTCAATTAACAATTTTGGTAACATAGTATTTGACATTCAACCATTCAAGTGCAAATAATCAAAATGAATAAACAATACAAGCAATTTCTATTACTTTAAACACATTATACACTTTGTCATGCTCATTATACATAAAATGTCTATAACCATAAACAATACTCATAATTTAGTAAACAATTTAGCAACTTTTATAAGAAAACTCACAAAAGTCAAAGAAAATTGTGGATTAGAAACCTCTACCTCAAAAAATGAGAAAACCTCCAAACTGAGCTCAAATCTCGAAATTCCAAGGTTGGCCAAACAAGGATTTGCTCCGATCAAAATGTAGATCTTGATGAGCTCTTCAATTTGCCTCAAACGGCATCAAAAAAATTTTAATTGATGAGGGAGAAATCAAGACTTGAAATTCTACTTGGAAAGAAAAAGAAAAAGAAAAATAAGATGAGAAATAGGGGAGAGAGTGAGTTACGGGAGAGAGAGAAAATTGTGAAGCCAATGGTGGCCTCCTTGCCACTTATTTGTAAAGTGGTGGGACCCACCACTTTTTCTTTTATTTTCTTTTTATTTCTTTTCCTTTTTACACCAAACAAAAATATATATATACACAAACTATATAAAACTCACATAAAATATATTAAATAAAACACATGAGATGCAAATGAACCCAACTAAAATTTCGGTACGCAACAATTCCGGTAGCGGGTTTCATACGGGAGATCCGAAAAACTGAAAAATGCAAAAATGACAAACCTTACATTTCAAAGAGTCCTAAACTCAATGAAACACTCCAACAAACTCTCAGACATAACCGGCACACCCCACAGTGTCCGGCATATAAAACGAGAAAAGACAAAAATGCCCTTGCACAAACGAAAAATTCCCAAAAAAAAAATAGAAAATGACAAAAAATGGAAATATTACCGTACTCAGACACCCCGTTTAAGAATTTGTTTGTATTCAAGAGGAGTCGCCGTTAGACTTGAAACATCAAGGCCAAGTAATTTACTCACTTGTGCCAACCCGTGGGTTGTCTCTCTAGTGGATTTGTCAAGACCCTTCAAGGCAGAAGTAAAGATATCAAATGAGATCAAAATCCATTCAATGAAACCACAATTTATGCACACACAACTATCTAGAAACATACACCTAATGCAATAGATATGAAAACTGATTTGCTTGGAAATCACAATCTAGAAAAAGGTAAATTTGTATTGGATTGGTATAATCAATAGATATTTTGGACTACTCTTGTCCTTGGTGATA